TTGGAACTTTAAAAGATGACCTTATTCGCGATAGAATCGTATGTGGTGTCCGTAAAAATGGCATACGTAGAAAACTACTCCAAGAGTCCGGATTAACGCTGTCGAAATGTGTTGACATCTGTTGGGCGAATGAAGCTACCGCAGCACAGCTGAAAGACATGGCGCCGAGCCAATTCACTGAACAAGAAGCAAACGCGGTCAACCAAAAAGAAGATTACAAGACGCCGAAGGCACCTAGAAAAAATGGTAAAGGTCCAAAAGATCAGCTAAGCGCCGAATGCAAATACTGCGGTAAAAGGCACGAACGAAAAAAAGATAAGTGCCCTGCATATGGAAAAACCTGCTCTTCGTGTGGAAAACCCAACCACTTTGCAGCAAAGTGTTTCAAGAATTCCCGCGAATTCAAAAAGAAGTGTTCACAGAAGTCTAAACGCAAGAAAGTGAACCAGCTCGATGACATCTCAGATTCTTCTTCAGAAGGAGAGATCTTGTCTGTGTCTTTGGCTCACATCGCTAACGCCGTGGACATGTCAAAGCTCAAGAACAAAATTTTCGCTCACATGGAGATTGGAATGAGTTAGTAAAGATGCAAGTCAATTCAGGAGCTTCTTGCAATGTGCTTCCCCGCAAGTTTCTTCCAAGAGACACCGAAATTAAAAAGACCAAGTTGAAGCTAAGCACGTACTCTAAAACGAATTTGAAGGTGCTGGGAGTGGCGAAACTATCCCTGCGAAACCCAGAGAACAAGAAGAAGTATCGTGCTGAATTTGCGGTTATTGACGAAGATTAAACTCCCCTTCTTGGCTCTTCAGCAACACAGCAAATGAGACTAATAACTGTCCAACAAGAGAACATCTTGCAAGTCAAGGATAGTTATCAGGAACTTTCAAGGTCTTGGTTGTATGGAAGGAGTTCTTCGCCTAGAAGTTAATGAGAGCGCCTCACCTTCAATCATGCCTTCTCGTCGTGTCCCTCTCACCCTGATAAAACGGCTGAAAGAGGAGCTAGCCCGCCTAGAAAGAGCCAATGTGATAACGAGAGAAGAAGAACCAACAGACTGGGTGGCAAATTAAGAGTGTGCATTGACCCCCAACATCTTAACAAAGCCCTTAAGAGAAGTCACTATCCGCTGCCAGTAATCGAGGACATACTCCCAGAATTAGCCGATGTCAAAGTATTCTCAAAAGCATACCTCAAAGATGGATTTCTACAGATACAGCTTGACCAGGAATCCAGCAAGCTAGCAACGTTCCAGACCCCCTGGGTCCGGTACAGATATATGCGGATGCCCTTCGGAATCTCTCCTGCTCCAGAATGTTTTCAGCGGAAGTTGGATCAAAATCTTCAAGGTCTCAAAGGAATCTACAAGGTAGCAGATGACATCTTAATCACAGGTCGTGGTACAACCAAGGATGGAGCCGTAAAAAATCATGATGCCAATTTACTGAAGCTGTTAGAGAGATGCCAGGAGAGGAATTTGAAGCTAAACCGAGAGAAAATACAACCGAAGTGTACAGACGTGCTAACACCTGAAGGAATAAAGCCTGACTCTAGAAAGGTAGAAGCTGTACTAAAGATGGAAAGACTCAGTGATCTGGCAGCAGTCAAAAGTTTGTCAAACTTTCGGAGCTGTGTGAACCACTAAGGTGACTCACCCACAAGGGCATCGAGTGGAGCTGGTCAACAGAGCAAGAGAAAGCCTTTAGAAGCGTGAAGCAAGCTGTTACTTCAGCTCCAATTCTGCGATATTTCAACTCCAGTGAACCTGTTGAAGGCCAGAGAGATGCTTCTGCCAATGTTTTAGGATTTGTGCTTATGCAGAATGGCCAACCAGTATCCTATTCAAGTAGAGCCCTCACCACAAGTGAAAGGAACTATTCCCAAATTGAGAAAGAACTGTTGGCCCAAGTCTTTGGCGTTGAGCGTCATCATCAGGATGTTTATGGTCAGAAAGTCATGCTGTGGTCAGACCATAAGCCCTTGGAAACTATCTGTAAGAAACCCTTAGCAACAGCCCCTAAACGTCTGCAAAGGTTGCTTCTACGATTACAGCAATATGATGTTGAGGTCCGTTACAAACCTGGTCCTGACATGTATCTGGCAGACACTTTGTCCCGTGCCTACCTACCAACAACTGCCCGCTCTCCAAGAAGAGACGGAACGAATTCGTGCAGTTGAATTCTTGCCCATTTCAGAACTTTTGCTGAGATCCAGCGTGAAACCGCAGCAGACTCAGTATTACAGTGCCTTACTCAAGTAATATTAAATAGTTAAGAATATATGAAAGTCATATATTTGAACTGCGGATAAAGACGTGAATAAAAGTGATCCTCGCAGTAATGTGCACTACTTAGGCAGTAGTGAAAATTTCTGTACATTACTGCGAGGATCACTTTCATTCACGTCAAGTAATATTGCAAGGCTGGCCAGATCAGAAAGAAGTCCTACCCTCAGAATTACATCCCTACCTCATTGTAAGAGATGAGCTTACTGCACAGGATGGAGTCCTCTTCAAAGGTTTACGATGTGTAATACCTCTTACCTTGAGTCCCAAAATACACGAACAACTTCATGGTGCCCACACAGGAGTTAAAGGCTGCTTGCGACGTGCGCGTGAAACAGTCTACTGGCCTGGCATGAATGCTGACCTTCACGACTACATAGCCAAGTGTGGTGTGTGTGCTACGTACCAGAAAGATCAGCAGAAGGAACCACTTATCGGTCCGTGTTGGAAAAACTGTGCCCGAGGTCTTGAGTACCGCACTCAAGACAGACGGACAGACCTAGGCTGGTGAATAACATTTTCATTTTTTCCAATAAACTTAACGAAATTCCTTCCAAAAGAACCCAATGATTTACGGCTGTAATTAAGGCAAGATCCTCCATAAACTGAACGAGTAAATGGTAGTTAAAGTGGAGGTAATGCAAATTAAAGAGAGATGCCTCACATTTTCATTTGCCTAATGATAAAGATGATTTAAAAGGCTTCCAACCGCGCTAGGAGGATCAATAAAAATTCCCAGTCCAAATCTCACAGCAAACACGAACGTCGAGAGTTTAAAAAAAAATGTGAGGATGGACAACTTCTGATGTAAAAAAGATAGAAAATTTAATAAGAACTTTTCAGTCAGAGACCTCCTCCTACTACTAATAAATACTAGTTACTAATAAATGAAGAAGGTCTATGACCGAAACGTTTTTATTAAATTTTCTATCTTTTTTACGTCAGAAGTTGTCCATCCTTGCATTTTCTTTAACACTCTCTCTCTCTCTCTCTCTCTCTCTCTCTCTCTATATATATATATATATATATATATATATATATATATATATATATATATATATATATATATATATATATATATATATATATATATATATATATATATATATGTATGTATATATATATAAAGATTATGAGGAAAAAAGGACGCAACTACATTTCTTGACAAGCCTGTTTCGTGAATCGCTTCACTCTTCAGGGGTTTAATGAATTTAATGATTTATTTTTAATATTTATTCTGCTCTGCTTCAACGTATTAAGCACTGTTCCACGCGAAAATCGACTTGTAGACTTCCTATATATATATATTTATATATAAATGAAAACTTGGCCCGATTCAAAAGCGTTGAGGAGTAATAGAAGAAGCCTCTTCTACCACACCCTCCCCCAACGTTTTAAGGAAACTGGAAACGGTTCGGCACTTTCGAGTGAAAAACCCTAGAAGAAAGGCCACAAATAATGATAATAAAAGTAATAATAATGATAATAATATCCATAATTTATATCAATAATTATATCAATAGTTCGTACGGTGTGATCGTCCGGGTGAGTGTAGTTCTGAAAAGAACCGTTGTTGGTGACTGACATTTCGACAACCTGTGCGGAAGTCATCTTCAGAGTCAAGTGAAGAGTAGTTGTCAGTCGATGATGTTATAAAGTCTGGTCTGTTGAACGTGATTGGTCTGTTTAGCCAAGATGTGATTGGCTGGAAGACTCGAGTAGAGTTTGTTAACAGTCATTGGTCGGTTTCGATCCGTCTGTTGTTTGTCGGTCTGTTTGTCGGTTTGTTCACGTCGTTAATGAGTCGTTTGTAAGGTGCTGGTAGTTGCTGACATCTGTTGAGAGGCGTCTGTTCTAAGTTGGTAAACCAGCTTTCCAAAGTCAGTCGTTGAAAATAGTTTGTACTGTAGGTTAAGCATTTAGCAGAATCCCAGTCGATTCTGTGATTAGTTTGTCGGTGATTTTCAGAAATGTGATTGTTTACATCACCATTTCTAGTCTAGTCCCTGTTAGTTTCTGTAGTGTCGGTCGCCCTGTGAGTGTTTCGTCTAATGAAGTCAGTGTTGTAGTTGTTTTTGTCAAAAACACGGTCAAGGTACTTGTTTTCGTCAGATAAACTGTCCGGTGTGTTGCAAAAAAGTTGCGCTCGTCTTGTCAATGTCTTGATAGTCGTAGCTTTGTGGGAAGTCGGGTTGTAGGATGATTCGTCAAGCAATCTGTCGGTATGCGTCGGTTTTCTGTATACTGTTGTTCGTAGTTCGTTGTTTTTTTCGGCCTACCAAACAGTCGAGAAAAGGAAGCTTGCCGTCTTCTTCGATCTCCCTGGTAAAGTGAATGTCGGTGTTTTGTTCGTTAAGGTGATTGTGAAACGCGTAGAGGCAATTTAACCTTAACACGCGACTAACTGAACACAAACGAGTAACTAGAACTGGTGATGTAAATGGTGATGTAAACAATGTGATAGCTAATATTTCGAAGAGGGAAGCCGTTTCAGGACAAAAAGTTTTTGAGGTCTTCTAGGTTGACTGCTACAGGCAAGGTGACGAACGAATTCTAAAGATATTAGATTTTCTTTCTTGTTGGTGTCGTGTTGCTTGAATTGAAAAGAAAACCGCAAAAATTTGTTCCCCCAAACCTCAGGAAAACGCCACTCCCCTGAAAAAGTCCCGCAAAAATTTCATTCTACACGGTAATATTGTGATCACAATCGGCAGCTATGAATTTACTGCAAATCTCAGCACTAGCAGACGGTGACGTAAGAGAGTTGATAACCTGGTTGCAAGGGCGTGGATTGCTGCCAAATCCGCTTTGTTGTGGAAATTACAAACTGGATATGGTTATTTCTGCTCGAAACGAAGGTCACGTCGACGGATATCAGTGGTAAGTTTTACAGTTAAAATATTTCTGATATAGAAGATTATCAGTTGTCAATTGAAATATTAAAAAACCGAAAACAGACCTCAACCGAAAGATACCAACTCAGCAAATAGGAACGCGAAATGCAAAAGATAAGATGTTTTATTTTCAGGTCTGAATTGCGAGGTGGTAATGCAGCGATCGTGAGCTGCGAGCTTAGACGCGTCTCCAGCTTTGGTTGTCACATCTCCTCACTTTTCGGCGCTCAACGATCGAAACGTTTCGTTATTCTTGGGATAATGTTCCCGCGGATGACAAATTCGATGAATTATGTAAACTTCAGCGGCAAGCTGGCGGACCTAATGCCTAACAGCAGGGACTGAAAATGCCACTAAAGAATTCAGCATACTCACTGAACAACATCTTCTAGACAAAACTATTGATAATAACAATGATAGTAATAATAATAATAATAATAATAATATTAACAATAATAGTTATGGTGTGATGATAACAGAAAAAGATGTATATGTATAAGCCGTTTGTATACAGTAGATATGAACCAGATTTCTTACTAATATGCAATTTTCCGATACTTATCATCGTTCTGGGCGCTGTAGAGGATGCAAAAGGAAGAGAAGTTTAAGGAGTAATTCCATATTTGCAGATTTCCCAAGTTAATCATTTAGTGTGTGGGATAAAAAGTTTGAAATAACACTCTGAATAGATATTTGGTCTGATGGAAAGACTGCAATGGCCACTGATCTCATTATGGCCAATAGTAAAATACTCCATTTAGCCACACCAATTGATGCCAATGATGCCCTAAATAAATCATATGTGGACACACCAACAAACAATTTATTGCAAACTGATTGAACAAAACCAATGTGCGCTGATTTTAATATGTCCAATAAAAAAATCAATTTAGTTACGCCAACAAATAGTAATGATAGTGCAATTAAATCATATGTGGATGGTGTTAAACAAGCAGCAACATTGGGTTCGTACCTGTATACTTGTTTAATTATGAAATGGGTCATGATAATAAAAATGAAACCAAATTCTAATAGTCAAGATCAAAATATGCAGTTTCCAATGATTTACATTTCACACTATACAGTGAGAAATTAACGTTTGATGTGGTTGGAACATATCAATTTCATTAAAGATATGGTTGCAAGGGGGCCTGCAACACATTTCTACTACAAAGCATATGATACTTCTGAATCCATTAGTAAGCGATACAATGTAATTACACAAAACACACACAATAAATAGATAGATGTTACATTTTTTGGAATATTTGGAACATTTACCGGTCATTCCATATCACTCGGTGTAGATAATGACACTCTCAATGCTGAGCTTTATGCACAATTGATGATAAGAAAAAAATATCTGACTGATATAAAAATATTATATGTGAGCTTAAAAAAGAGACGTGCTATAAACTTCAATCATACAGATAACTCACTAGAAAAAAACGCAATAAATGAAGTTACATTATCATACAAATACTATATCATAAGCAGCTTCGATTGTTACAAAAAGCCTAGGGGTCCAAGAAACTAAATCTGTTATGCAATTTGTCATCGTCTTGTTTAATAGTAAGTGGTAATATAGCTGGAAAGGTAACAACGAGTCCCATCCTACTTGGCATTATACTTGGTAGTGGTTTGACATAATTAAAAAACGTACTGAGACATTAAAGATTTCAAGAAGATCGAATTATGTTGATTTGCTTTTACCATCTATATGAACACACTCACTGATTTAAGGTCTTTTTTAAGAGGAGTGTCATTTGGTAACGAGAGTTATTTGGACCAATTGAAAACTGTAGATAATATTATCATAGATATGTGTTCAATGATTGATGTTTTTGAGCAACAGCACAAGTAGTTTACTTGTGATGAATTATTTATTAAGTATTTTGTTGTAGTCATTCCTAATTAGTTTCAATGACAATTTAAAGTACTCCAACCAGTTAAGAAAGATTGTGCGATTTTTATCTCAGTTGACTTTTGACTGTTGAACGAGTTAAACCATTTCAGCTGGATTGTCTAGATTGTGCAGTTAAACGGATTAAGCTAGTTATGCATTTTTTTTCAGTAGAACCAATTAAGGCAGTTTGATCATTTGATGTACTTCAACCAACTGAGATAGATTGTTGAATTTGTGTATTTTGCTATATTTTCAGGTTCAACTTTCTTACTAGTTAGTAAGACTGCTAAACCGCTAAAGTCGATAAATTTCACTATCTTTCTCAGCTGGTTGAACTAATTCAAATGGTAAGATTAGCTTCAATTGTTGCAGAGGACAAAATGCATAACCAGTTTGATAGGTTGAACTGCACAAACGTCTCAGTCTAGTTGAACTGGTTAAAGCGGTTAAATATTTAAACTAGCGAAAACAGTAAGAGTGCACAAATTGCACTATCTAACTCAAATGGTCGATGTAGTTCAAATTCTCAAAGTACGTTAATTGGTTAAACCACAAAAAATACATAACTAACTTGATAGCTCAAGCCTAATCGGATATACTCGTTAAATAGTCAAACTAGCTGAGACAGTTAAACTGTACAAATTGCACAGTCTATCTTAATTGGTTAACGTTGTTCGAATGGCTATACTAGGTTCAATGGCTTAACTGAACAAAATGCATTACTGGCTTAAATAGTTGAATTGGTTAAAAAGTCAAACTAGGGAAGACAGCCAAAGTAGTGCAATGGTCGAACTACCTTCAATTCTTGAACTGCACAAACGGCAAAATGTAGCCAAATTTGTTTAAGAATTTAAATAATCAAAGCAGCTTAATTAGTTAAACCAAGTAAATAGTCCAACCGGCGAAGACAGTTATATGCACAAATCGGCGTTACTGCACAAACTGCACGATCTAGCTGAGATGGTTTCACTGGTCAAATAGGCAAACTAGGAAAAGCAGTCAAACCAATTGCACAATCTATCTTAATTGGTTAAAAAAATTCGATAGTCCATCTAACTTAAACGGGTCAGCAAGAGAAATTTCAGAACTAAGTGATTTGAATAAACTGGACAAAACCAATAAGTAGCCTTAATGGTTTGACTAGCTAAATGTCAATCGAGCGATTACAGTTTGACCATTTTAAACTACTTCAACCAGTAAAGATGCATTGTGCTATTTGTGAAGTTCAAATGTTTTTGCTAGTACCACTACTTAATCATATGAACCAATCCATCTACTTTGATTATCTTAACTAGCTAAACCAATTAAACCTGAGCAAAACTGCACAAATTGCAAAATTTATCTTAATTGGTGGAAGTGGTTCACACAGTCAAACTAGCTTAAATGGTTTAACTAAAAATGTGTAAATATGATATGCACCTTGTCCGGTTCAACTGTTTTCAACTGAACAAAGTGCATAACCAGCCTAATCCATTCGACTGCACAATTTGAACAATGTAGCTCAAATACGGTCTAACAGTTGAACTAAGGTCAAGTGAGAAAAATTGTGCAATCTGTCTTCACTGGTTGAAGTTCTTAAAATGGTCAAATTGACGTCAAGCAATAAACGGCACAAACTGAAGAATCTAGCTGAATTGCTTGAAGTAGTTAAAATGCTCAAACTAGTTTGACTGTTAAAACCGATTAAACTAATTAAGCTCCACAACCCAGTAAGTCTCTTTGACTGTTTCACTATCTGAACTAACTAAGGTAACTTGTGCAGTTAAACTATTTAAGCTAGGTGTGCATTTTGTCAAGTTAAACATTTTCAGCTACTTTGACCATATTAACGACTTAAACCATTCGATATTGATTGTGCAATTTCTACAGTTTCAGTGCTTTCGTCAGTTTGATTATTTAACCAAGTGAACCAACTAAGCTTGATTAAAGAGTTTGTCCAGTTGAACCTATTAAGTAGTTTATGCATTTTGTCCTTTTGAACAATTTTAGGTAGTTTAACCATTCGAACAACTTTAACCGGTGAAAAGAGATTTGGATAGTTTGACTAACTGCTTAAATAGTAAAACCAGCGAGGATAGTTAAATACACAAGTATTTTAAATGGTCAAACCAGTTTAAGGAGCTTAACCGGACAAAATGCACAACTAGGTTAAATAGTTCAAACAGTGAAATAATCAGACTATGGAAAACAGTATAGCTGCACAATTTACTCAACAGGTTAGACTGGTTCAAATAGTCAATCAAGCTTAAATTGTTCAAGTAGACAAAGTGCATAGTTATGCACTTATGTCCAATTAGCTGCAAACAAACAAATACATGTTTTCGGTGCCAAAAAGCTGACAAAAGCAAAACTTGGCCACAAAAGTCACCAAAACGTTGTATTTAGTGAGATACAGCTAAAATCAGCGTGATTAGCTGCAAACAGGCAAAAAAACTTCTTTGATGTGACACAACTAAGAAAAGCGTAATTCGGTGGCAAACAAGTCAGTTCGTCCAGTTGTTTTTGCGTATCACTGTTTTTGCTTATTCGATTGCTTTAACCATTTGACCCAATTTAGGTCGTTGATGGATTTGGTCCATATGAGCCAATTAAACCAACTCAGCTATTTTCTGAGTTTTGTGCCGTCTGACTGTTTCTGCCGTTTGCAATTTTTTAGTTTGACTATTCCACCACTTTAGCTATTTAAGCTGGTTATGCTTGTAATCCGATGAAATCCTAACCCTAAGCTGTATTACCATCTTAGCTACTTGAGAGTTGAGCCATTGAAGCTAGATTGTGCAGTTTGTGCAGTTGAACCGATTAAGATAGTTATGCTTTTTTTCTGGTTGAGCCATATCAGCTAGTTTGACCACTTGAACTACTTCAACCAATTAACAAATATTATGCACTCTGTGCAACTGAGATTGTGCAATTTTTCTTAGTTGACCTCAGTTTGACTTTTAAACCGCTTGAATTATTTGAGCGAAATGGTTCAAATTGTTGCAGGTTGTCGACACATTTACAAAGTAGAACAATGGAACAATAGATATATTGTTTTCGATTCCCCAGGGACTGACATCACATTAGATGACAATTATATGCAATTATGTGGTTGATTATATATGCTGACGAACGCCTTTGAAAATGACTTTCGGCGGTAGTTTTTCTCCGTTGGCTTTAACTGCTAGGACAACTGTGAAACTGCTTGTCTCCACCGCACGACAAGATCGGCACTATTCGGTTGCCCGTGAATTCGAGGGTTCTTGTGGCTGGCAGCTCAAATCGCGTGGGAGTTTCGTCCATGTCTAAGATGTGGCTTAACTGGTAGCCATGACGTCTCTGGACCCTCAACACAAACCGATGGAATTCGACGATCTTCTCCTCCATGTCTGCTGGTAGACGCTGCGCCAAAGTTGTTTTTGCTCTCATAGATACAGTGTGGCGACGTTTACAGTTGTTTTACCACCCTATAGATGCCTTGAACTCCGGATTGGAGCTGAATTCCTTCGCCTTTAACCGGAGCATTCCACTATTAACTGAGAGACTTGCAAAAAATAAAACTACAGTGTTAAAGCACAAGGTATTTTACGTGCACGTGTTGCATGTTAACATTTTTTTTCAGAGGGCACGATAACGAATCCTGTA